TGTGTTTGAAATGCCAAAAAATACGGTTCTTTTGCACATCCTCAGTTCACCCTTTTGGCTTCTCACTTTGCGTTTTTTTTTCGGGAATCTGTTCACTAAGATTACTGTCATCCTAGTTATACCTTTTATTCATGAATTTTCCAAATATTCAAATGCTTTTGAACAATTCACAATTACTTATATAGATGAATTCCTTTGTGGTTTTTATAAAGCAAGAAAGGCGAATGACCTGCATTTTGTGTCCTGGCTTTCAGAGTTTCATAGCTCTCTTATGAAGTGTGTTCTCTTTGAATGATACTTATTTTAAAGGATTGCTACGATCGGCAGCGTTCGAATATGCCTAACACTGCGCGTCCTCCACCTAGCATGAAAACTGACAACAGTGACAATACCTTTCATGGTAGGACTTATTAGTCTTTGCCTTTTCAAAGTAAGATTTTTTACTTTTAGCTAGTTTATCCATGTTAGAAAATGCAACTCAAAATTCTGCAGCTGCATATACCGCCAGCTGGGTGAGCAGCACTTCGAGCATACCGCCTGAGTTAAGAGATGAGCCTGAGGTGAGCCTTTTCCCTATCATGCTTAACAGCTCATACAAATGACGTTCAAGGTGCCTTCATTCAACGGTTCAGCGCACGACGGCTTTGTAAGTGGCCTGAAACTTTTGTGGATTAGGCTCATAGTGTTGTAGACGACATTCAAAAATTTTCACGATGTTTTAGCGTGATGAGCCTCCCACTGGCGCGCCTGCTAATATAGCTCCTCCAGTTGGCGCCTTTACGGATCACTTCAGCAAAATGTCCGTACAGGATAAAGTATGTGCTTACTTGTATCTACATAATGAACTACACGTTGTGAGAGCTTTGTTTCTTCAGCATTGGCCTGGTCTTGGAAAGGATGGAGATAATGGTAATGGAGGTGGCGGTAATGCTAGACGACGCCGACTGGAAGACCGGGACCGTCGCACACGAGCATCACCGAGAGAGCTGACTTGGGAAGAGCGCATTCGAAAAGGAGCAGTTCAGAAGGAACGTGTGGAACAACGGGGGTAATTTGTAGGGAATTTAGATCTGTGTTGAGTAGTTTTCCTTGAGTTTGTATTGATAGGACAGAAAAATCCGAACGCGAAAATCGAGAAAACAATAGCGTGAATGGACGAGGAGGCCATAAACAGCGCAACAGCCGTTCAGCGGAAACGGGAAAGGCCGAAAATAGCGGAAGGGATCCTGAAGTATCTCCTGTCTTAGGAGTGGGTTCAATCGAAGTGTTTTGAATAGTATCTTCCTTCCTAATTTCTTACTGCTGCAATCATTTTGTTGTTCATTATGTGCAGGTGGAGACGAAAAATCAATGATAACTGTAGGAGAGATGTCCAACGGTCAATCGAAGCAATGGTGATCAACCGTCGCGAAGCTTTGGGCCTCGTGTTGACCGCCCAATGGACAAACAGTGTAATTTCGACATGGGACCAAGAATGCCGGACATGCGGGGTCCTGTAAATTACAGGCAAGGTTGGTAGAAGTTGGCATAAGCACCATGTAAGGGATTGAGTGATTAATTGGCAGGAGTTCCACTGTTGGTAGCTCGTAACACGTATTATCCTACGAGACCTCCTTTTGTGTGCTTGCCACAGCAAGATCAGCGCTTCCGAAACACTTGGCTTGATGCAAACCTCCCAATCAACTATCCCCCTATTCCTATGGTAAGCTGTTATTGTTTGAATTTTAGCCCTTTTTATCCTTCAAGTTTAGATGGACTGCACTTTCCCTCCTTATTCTTGCCGTGGCCGGCCGCCTACGAGTGGGCGCGGTGGTTATCGCTACCACTATAGAGGAAATCCGATCCGGGAAATTGTAAAGATTAGAGAAAGACTTGACAGAAACCTTCGAGTGGGAACTTATGATGCGACCCCCATGAAAAACGAATACGCTTCCCGTGAGTATGAGGAATCATGGGATGAAACAGAAGAAGAAAAGCAAAAGCGCTGGAACGCTGGCATCTATTGGCCTTTTGAGAAGGAACATCTTGAGAAGGAGAGGCTTGAAAAGGAAAAGCATGAAACAGAAAGGCTTGAGAAGGAAAAGGAGGAAGAAGAACTCGGAAATGAAAGTCTTGAAAAACAAAGATCCGAAGAAGAAAGGTTTGAGAGGGAGGAAACTGATGACGAGAAAGCTAAGCAAAATCTAGGGGACGAACGCAAAAAAGAAGAAGGAGAAAGCGTAAAAATGGCTTTGGAAAAGACTCAGAGCGACAACATAAATGAAATTCGTGAAAGTGAACGCGCAAATCCTGATAAAGCAGAGGACAATATGCTCAAAGAGGTTACTTCTGGGTGAGACGCTTGGTTTTTGTACCATTGAGACTGTATAAGTATTTACAATATTTACAACTCCGTTTCGCTTCCATTTTTTGACTTTTGTGTGGCTGTTTTTTTTTTGTGGGAACAAAATTGTTCTTTGCCAATGATCACCATCCCATTGAAGATGGTGTGGTATTTTGAGTAGCATTACATCTGCACTTAAGATACACGCGCATTTCATTTTTTGCAAAGCATTGATAGTAATAGCACCAAGTATTGAATGATTTTGTTCTCTATGCGGACAAGTTTATTTACAGCTCAAGATATTCGTAAAAATTTGGTTGTATCTTCTTGATTTTTTGGATGTTCAACACTCTTTACCTTTTTTTCCTAAATTTCACATATATTTCCGCTTCAGAGAATCGTTCAATATGTCAGCATTTCACATTGTTTTCGTAAATTGTGCGCATTTCAATTTATGATCGTAGGAGTTGTTGTTTTCAAACTGACCATATTGCGCTTCCACGAATTCCCGTGATATTTTACAGTTTGGAAGCTGCAAACCTGTCGGTGGTTGGTTTGAATACTTGAGCATTTGTGTAGATTTAATGAACAACCTCTTACCCAGTGAAAGAAGCGGTGCAGTACGATGTTTAACTGTATCTTGTTGCCCTCTTTTCCTAATTTATCGTGATTCCTCATTGTTTCCGTAGTTTTCATACTCAGATTGTTTTTTGTTTAGTGTATGATTATGGTTGTGACGTTGTGACGATCGTGAGTTGATGTCAGTAAAGTTATAAATTTTATATATTTTGATGTGTACCCGGGTATGAGTTGCGAACCAATCGTACCTTATTCTCGCTTACATTTAGCTGTCTCTAGCATAGTCGGCGTAACCTGGCTGTTTAGATTTGCAGTAAATGTCTATTTATGTGAGCGCACCACCATTGCAACATCCGTGTGACTCCAGCAGAAAAGAGCGCACTTTTCCTAGTGCGGAATCTGTCCACTGTGGACGACTATTGTCTTACGATGACAATGTTCTAAGGTGTGCTCTAGATTAGAAGAGCATTCTCTCACTTGAATACTTAGTCATTTCTTCGACTTGCGATATGATACGATTTTTTGCGTACAAGTCGAAGTCAGTTTGAGTTTTTTGCAGTCTTCAGCGCTTTGCTACTTCTGTATTTTAGTGGTCATGGTACGGTACTTGCTGGCGCCGGATTGTTAGCAAGCGTTTCGGGATTGAAGATTCAATACAGTCAGTTGTATATGGTAGAACCGTACAAGTCGAAGTCAGTTTGAGCGCCTCTAAGTTAGCTTTCAAATCCTTAATTACATATATTGTAGATATCTTCCTAAAGTAGGTGATGTTGTAGTTGGTCGCATTGTCAGTGTTCAGAAGGCTCGCTGGAAGGTGAAGGCCATCTCATTTGCCCACACCTTATTTCCTGTCAACATTTTGCTTAGGTAGACGTGAACTACAGAATTGCTGCTGTTTTGCACCTCAACAACGTCAACCTTCCCGGGGGTGAGCTCAGGCGCAAAGGCTTAGAGGTGAGAATGGCAACGTTGGGCTAGTAGTCCGACAAAAGAGGTTTTATTTTCAAGGATGAAATTGCAATGAGCGAGCATCTCGTTGTGGGCGATTTGATAAGTGCGGAAGTTCAACAGATAAAAGCAAGAGGACAGCTTCAGCTACATACGAGAAACTTGAAGTATGGAAAACTTGGACAGGGGATTTTGGTCAAGGTAAGCTCTTATCCAGTTATATATTGGTTTCTAGAAGAAACCTTCAAAAAATTCGCGACGCCGCTCAGCTGACGCGGTCACCACGTCAATGTAAAGTGTCAACAATCTCACAAAATATCAAGTCACAATAACATCGAGATCGCGATTTACTCCTTCACAACTGTCGAATGTAAGCGAGTAGTGTGTTTCTAATTGACTCTGGTGCGAAATAAGTTGTTGGTTGTGCAGGGATCCCTGGCAGAAGATTCTGCCTATACTGATGATGACTGGATGATTGTAGAATTTAAATATCTTTCTTCTTTTTTTGCGGCCATTTTCTCTCAACGGATGGGTGTGGTTCAGGGGACTGCTTATTCGAACAAACTTTATGGCCAAAATGCTTTTGACTTTTATTCAATCATTGCAGTGAATTATGTCAGCTGGAGCTGTGACTCCCAATTTACGCGTTAGTGGAAAAATTCTTATCGATGATCAGTGTTATATAGTAGGGGTTGCATTGTTCAACTTCAGTGACTACAGTTCAAATTCGCGGTCTTTTTTCTTTTCCAGCCTTCTTTGTTTCACTTTTGCTGTTTACTTCAGGTAATTCCCACTCTCATCAAGCCGCAGAAGGAATATATGCACGTGTTATTTGGCATTGGGGTAACTATTGGTTGTAATGGTGTCATATGGATCTCACCAGAAATGAGTTCAGATCCTGACGGTGGTTATGGTCAAGATGTTACTATAGTGAGTTTGGGGCAGAACCTTTGACGGTGATTTCCTTTATCTATGAGTATTTTAGTCAGTTCCACTGGATAAACGATTATCCATGGTTAGGCTTGCTGCGTGCATTCGGTTGCTTTCC